CATATTTCCAATTGAGAAGTTTTCCCCACAGTGGCAGTATGGTATGTAAAAATAAGAAGAGACAGAAATGTGAATTATCTTGCCTTAAAACAAAAATGATAAATTATATTTAAAATTCTTTTTATTTCCCAGAGCGCCTTCTTTACACAACTCTGTGATCTAGCAGGGTGGTACAAATATAACCACTCCCATTTTATGTACAAGAAAAACGAGGCTTGGTGCCTAATTTGACATATGGTAAGGGCCAGTGTCTGAGCCCCAAACAAGGTCGCCTGGCCTGACCAATGTGCCTAGAACAAGAAATCAAGGCCACACTTCTCTAGAGGATCCCAATCAGAAGGAAAAGAAAGACAAAAAAAAATCTTCTCCATCCATTCTTCCCAAGCTAATTTGACCATAGAACATTTTTGGTCAGTTATATATTGCTGGAATTCATAAAGGGTTTTTTTCATTTAATCTAAGGGTATAGAATACTTCTGTGAAAAAAAAAAGATAGGAGTTTTAAAGCAACAAAGAGGAAATGAAACCTATTTCCCTGCTGAAAAGTCATCATGGTATATTTTTGACATATAAGTAATTTAATATTTAGAGGGAAAAATCATGTTAGAATCACGACTACCTCAGGGTACACCATTCATAGGTTATGGAACACTAACATTCTGTGAAACATAGTTTAGTAAATGTTGCCTTAGAGGATAAAAATCAAGATAACATCTCTGATATATTAATAATAGCTCAAATGGAAGATTATTTATAGCCAGTCGCTGAAAGTTATCTTTATGATGATCAAGATGTTTGCAAAACCACCCACCAAACTATACATCTCTATCTGGAACAATTTCTCCATTCAGTTTGTACTATACCTATTATATATCAGTGATTTCAGACAACAGAATGTCATGATGTCATTTAACAAAATATATTCTTATGGTAAAATAATTCTATATTTATTTATTTATTCATACATATTTAATTTATATATTGCCCATTCATCCGTCCATTCATTCATCCCAAATAAATCTATTGAGAGCTGCAAAAAATACCACACTGTTCTTAGGCTCTAATTAGCAGAACAATATATAGAGGTAAGTAACCTATAAAGGCAAATATCAATAAAAAAAAAAGTTTAGTCACAGTACAATACAACAATACAAAAGATATTATAAGGTAGCATTTGTTTAAGATCCAATTTACAGGTCCAAATAATATGTTTTGAAGGAGTATAAGAGGACAGAGAGATCAGTATGGGCTAGAATGGTCAAGATGTTTTCAGATAGGTCACAATGGATGGGAGAAGAGATGTGGGGAGGCCATTCCAGGAAGGGAAAATGTTATCAGCAATAGCACAGATATGGAGATGTATATGTTTGGAGGGCAGTGAGTAGACCAATATGCCAGGAAAGTAAAGTTTTCATAATTCAGATATGAGGTTGGAAAGATAGGCTTGATTCAAGTTCTGGAGGGACTATAATGCCCATCTAAAGAGACTTCAATCTGTAAACCAATGGGGAGGTACTGGAACTGTAGTTCAGGCAAGAGGTCAAGGCCTGAGGTATAGATTTGAGGGCTATCTGCCTAGAATCACAGAGTTTCAAGGCTGGAAGCGGCCTTGGAGATCATATAATTCAACTTGCCTATTTTATAGATGATGAAAACCCCAGCTTAGAGGGGTAAAGTGATTTTCCTAGGCTAAAAAGCTCACTAGTGGCAGAGCTGCAACCAAGACTCACATCTAATTCTCAGTTAAGTAAATTGTCTACTCTACCATTCTCTTAAGAGTTGAAATAATATTTTATTTCAAGTCTTCTTTGGATTACCCATCATTGCATTTTTTAATTAAAAAAAAAAAAGATCAGCCTAGCATAAAATACACCTGTGATATTTTAGGTAAATTACATGACCCACAAGGACAATGAGCTGACAAGCAGATTAGCTGATTGACTTAGAATGAAGAAGTGGAGGATAGAGTTTTGTGTGTGTGTGCGCGCGCGTGTGTGTGTGTGTGTGTGTGTGTATGTGTATGCATCTGTGTGTATAACAACCAGGCAGACCACTATAAACCATAAACATTCTTGTATCAACAATAAATAACAAAAAAAGAAGATTCAAAGTTCTTATATTTTGCCTTCTACATCAATATGTAAAAATAATAACTATAAATATTTGTTAGCTTTTCAGAGTAATTTTCTTTTAAGAGGAAATATGCATTTAAAAAAAGATTCAACCATCCATCCACCCATCTATCCACTCAAAAATAATTTATTTTGTGCCAGATAGTTGCAATGGACCATACCAAAGCCTGGAGGAGATACAGAGATAAATATGGATATGCATGGATTCACAAGGGATGACTTGGGTGGGGGGCTGTTGATAGAGGGAGAAATAAGAAAGGAGGGAGGCATTTTGCAGAGTTGAGATAGGAGGTAGAGAAGGCTATTATTATTATTATTATTAATATTAATGTTCAATCACCATCATGAACTCCCCTGTCCTTTCCCTCTTAAGAAACCCACTCTGTAAGAAGAAAAGCTATGTCTGAACATGCTTGGCCTCTAACTACTGATCCACATAAAGAATGTAAGATTTCAGAAGCAAACATTTCAATTTCTAGATTTTCACAAATCCTGCTAAATAGGCAAAATATCTGGGATTTCTTCAGGGTAGAGAATGACTTTGCAGATAAATCCTAGGGAGTTCCAGGGACATATAGCTAGGGCTTTCAGACTCCTAGCCTAACATTTTATTCTAGTACTATATTTTATACATTATATTTTAAAATGTTACACTTGTAAATACAAGAGTGCTAAGTAATTAGAATTAATGTATGTCACAGTTAAATGCAGCTAAGAACTATTTGAAATCGTGGTTATGTCATTTTGGTGAGGGGTGAAAGGTGGACAAATCTATGATTTCATTGACATAGGGAACTTGGTGAGAACACTAGGGTTGCTACAAGAATTGACTCTGCAATTGATAATCTTACAGAGTTTCCTGGGGGAACTTAGAAATTGAAGACTTGTTCAGGGTCAAAAAAGCCAGTATGCATCAGATATGTGGCTTCAATCCAGGTCTTCTCGACATTTGAGATGAGCTCTCTATGACTGACTCTGGTTTTGCCTATTTGATAACAATATTTGATTTGGGTTAGTGATAAATGAAAGTCTTTTGCCTATGCATATCTGCCCTATCCTTAATTTGTATAGTCTTTTTTAAAAATAGGTACATGACTTTAAAAAATTTTCTAACTAATTTAAACTCGTTAAATTCAGGACTACTGAGATCTTTTTGAATTATTATTCTGCAACCCTTTGTATTACTATTCTGCCCAGTTTTGTATCGTTCAAAAATTTGATAAGTGTATCTTTCATGTTTTAATTCAAATCACTAATGAGTGCTAACCAACACAAGACTAAAGTTAGGTCCTCATAATACAGTGCTATAAATCTTCCATGTTGATATCCACTAATCAGTGTTCTTTAGGTATTAGTAATTGGAGCAGTAATGAATCCATCTATATGTCATCCGGCCATATTTATCCACCTTGTCCACAAGGACAGGATATCAGACTTTGTCTAATGCCTTGCTGAACAAATAAATCTCTCTTTTTACAGGTGACTCCTTATTTTTCCCATATCTGGCCTTTTACTATGCCATTTTTCCTTTGAAAACTATCAGAACATGCTTTAAGAATAGCTAAATAGCTCAGCCATATTCCTCTTATAATGAAATTGAAACCAATACCAAAGTTTTGGGGGTTTTTTTGCAGTTAAGAAAAAGATGATTTTGTAAGATTTATCAGATAATTCACCAAGTAGTGTTAAGTTGGAAATTGAATTTTAAAATATAAGTTCAGTGACAGTGTTACTTTCACCTGAAATTACATAGACTAACTATGTGTAATATGCACTAGCATTACCCTGTACTACAATGCTTCTACATACTAGATATATCAAAAAGTTTTAATTGTGCTGAAATTCAGAAAGTAATAATTTTCTTAGAGTTTATCACTTCCATTATGTGTGCATATGTGTATATTTGTGTGTACATATGTACATACCCTGGGTATTCTGAAATTAAAAAAAACACAGAGAGGCAAGAACTTTATTCTTAACCTATATGTATGTGTGCATATATATATGTGTGTGTATGTGTGTATATGTATATACACACACATATATAATTATCCATTCTAATTCTAATTGTCAATTCTACCCCAGAAGTTATATACACATATACAGTATTATAATGTAATACATTATAATATATGTAATATATACACATTATAGGATATATAATATTATATGTATATAATTTCTGGGGTGTAATGACAATTAGAAGATATATAGACAGTGTTTGCTAAAGCATTGGTGTCTAATCTCTATCCTCAAACAATATCCATGGACAGCCTAAACTGATCTTTCTCTTTATCCAGAGTTGTGAAAAACTCAGAATATCAAACACATAAACGCAGTACAAACACACCAAGCACAACAAAGTCCCAGTTTCACTAAAGTCTTTATTCCTCTGGTCTTCCTGTTTTTATTTTCAAGATCTGCTATTTGCTAACCATTCATATGGAAAGCGTATTATTTAGATGGATCTAATACTTTTCCCATTTCCACTCTGCTCAGAAAGCCATTAACAGATAAGTCCTAAAGAAATTCAGATTCATTTCAAGATGATGAACCTCATATCTGGTTTAGGAGTGACAGAAAGGAAAAAAAATATGAATGAGATGCTCTTTCCCATTGGGTTCTATTCATTTAATCCTCATTTTCTATGGAATGATACTAGGCAGTACCTGTGAGATGTATTCTCAGAAGGCATTTCTCATTGAATGAACAAAGGGAAAAAATTCAGGAAAGATGAAAGGGGAAAAAAAACTCTGACCTGACATTACAAAAAAAAAAAAAGACACTAAGATGAAAACAAAATAGTGTCATGGATTTACATATGGGGTTTTGATGGAATCTAGGGCTGTGTTTTAAGTCAAAACTCACCATCTCAAAACCACTTCTTTTCATCCGCCTGCAGGACTTGAGGTAAGTACGTATACGTTTCCTGGCACGTTCTTGATACTCAGGGAATTGTCGCCTGCATGAGTCAATGATAGCCTGGATCTTTTCTTTGGGCTGCTTAGAGATTGGGACCATTCGGTCCAAGTTTTCATCTACAAACAGCCTGACAAACATCTGTTGGCAAGAGGGAGACAGAGGAGAAGGGTTTGGAGGGCTGCTCTCTTCTCTTTCTAGCTTCCTGTCTTGATTACTGATAGGAAAATACCATTTTCTGGTTTATGCACTGAAGAATTTTGCAATGGAGAGCCAGAAATTTTTAGCAAACACTCTTTAAGGGCTTTCTAAAGGGCTGAATAAAGACAGAGAGAGAAAAAAAGAGAGAGAGACAAAGACAGAGACAGAATAGACTTGTGTATAGAAATTATGAAATAATCAACAATCAGCTGTAAAATTGAGCACCCCGTAACATTTTTTTATTAATAATAACTACAACCGCTACAAGGTAACACTGCACTAAGTACTTTTGGTACTTTGAAAAATACTAATCTTTGAAAATTAGCAATTGCTTGTTTTGTCATGCATAATTAGGTTAAGCTTGGAAAGCAACAGAAATAGCTGATCACGGTTGTACTCTTCAGAGGAACAAGCTGTGGCCCCCTTCATCCACTAGATAAACATGCATACTCACACAACCCAACTCCAGTTTTCAGCTGACATTTGGCTTTAAAATTCTAAACAAAACACAGCAATTTTGGTGTCTGGTTGGCCAAGAGTGTTTCATGTACTTTAAAAATCCTTCTGTAAATTAAACAAACATGCGTCTAAAATATCCACATTTACCGATTAACAACATGTAAAATAAATTGATAAAATTAAACCACACAGCGGTATGACAAGACTCACATTAAAAGCTTTCAGTCGCTCAGCTTCTACTCCATCTGTCTCATTAACTTTCTCTGAATCTTCTTGCTCATCGTGGTCATCTTCATCCTCATCTCCTCTGTTCATGGATAAGTCCTCAGCACCTCTGTCTACACTCTCATTCTTCCCAGATTCATAACTTGAGTAGCTGTGTGCAGGGGACTGAGAATAAAAGGAAAAGGGCAATTACGTAAGTGTATCAGCTGGTAAGGTTTACTTTTTATCAATTCTATCGGCACATTCTCACTGCTGATTTAAATAATTCAACATATTAATAGTTATTTTCCATTCACTATATTAAATTCTCATTTCCATGAAGGTAATACAAAAATATATGATATAAAATGGAATAGAACACTTGTTTTGATGAGAGTAACAATGATTTTTCTAAATCAGGTAAATGTAACTGTTTCATTTATATTTATTCCAAAAATTAGCAAAGCGCCAAGTAAAGTCAAAGAAAGGTATTAGTAAATTAGGAAAAATGGCCCTCATCCCAATTTATAATGTATTGCTTTGGGAACTGAAAAGTTTATTCCTAAGTATACATAGAATAAGATTTTGTTGTTGTCCAATCGTTTTAGTCCTGTCTAACTCTTCATGACCCCATTTGGGGGATTTTCTTGTTAGAGATATTGGAGTGGTTTGCCATTTCCTTCTCCAGCTCATGTTACAGATGAGGAAACTGAGGCAAACAGGGTTAAATGACTTGCCCAGGGTCACACAACTACTAAGTGTCTAAGGCCACATTTTAGCTTAGGAACGTGAGTCTCCCTGACTCTAGGTGCCACCTAAAGACGCTGTCTTAGTTAGCAAATAATTTCCTCAACAAATGAGGTCATACAATCAAGTCAAGAAGCATTTATTAAGTACTGACTAGTAATGCTTCAATAACCCAAAGCTCCTACCTGAAACCAAGATCCTTCTTTTTAATATTAATATTTTTGGTAATGTTTATATGTCTGTATGTTGGGGAATATCACAGTCTCTGATGGATTATAGTTACATGTCACTTGAAGGGTAATGGACAACTGCAAAGCAGATGTAAAGACAGCAATATGCTCGCAACAGTCAATCAATCAATGAACATTTATTAAGATCCTGCTGTGTTCCAGGCACTGTGTTAAGTGCTATGGATACAAAGAAGGGCAAAAGATAGTACTTGCTATCATGGAACTCATAATCTAACGGAAGAGAAATCATGCAAACAACATTGTACAAACAAGCTACATGCAGGATGAATTAGAGATAATCAACAGAGGAAGGCACTAGAATTAAGAGGAATCTGAAAAGACTTTCTGTAGAAGGGGAGATTTTAGCTGGGACTTGAAGTAAGTCAGGAGGCTGTGATTAAGAGCATAGGAGTAAGTCAGTGAAAATGCCAGGAGGTGGAAGATGGAGTTTCTTTTTTGAGGAACAGTAAAGAGGCCAGTTTCACTGTATTGAAGAATATGCAAGGTGTTAGAAGACAAGAAAGTTGTGTGTGTATGTGTGTGTGTGTGTGTGTGTGTGTGTGTATGTGTCTGTGTCTGTGTCTGTGTATGTGTGCGTAGGAGCAGGTTATGATGGGCTTTGAAAGACAAGAAGAACATTTTATGTTTGATCAGAGAGGTGATATGGAGCTGCTGGAGTTTATTCAATGGGGCAAGGAATAGTGACATGATCAGATCTGCATTTTAGGAAGACTACTTTGGCATACGAGTGGAGGATGGACTCTGGGGAGAATGACTTGTGTTAAGCAACCAACCAGCAGGCTATTACAATAGTCCAGGTGTGTGGTGATGAATGCCTATACCATGGTGGTGCATAGCGAAGAGTTTTATACCAGAAGTAGTGTTAACAATATTACCTTAGGGCAGTGATCTGAAAGGGAAATAGACCAGTCAGACAGCGAGAATGAAGGATATCAGCTTTAGTGCAGCGTGAGTACTGACATAACATCAAGAAATGTTCTGAAAGTTGTCAATATTTTGAATGAATTTTCTCTGGAGGATTCCTAGGAGATAAGGACAAGAGTTGAACAAGAAAGAGACGTCTTGGATAGATTGTATTCTGCACCGCCGGAGAAGCATTCATCGATCCGTTGAAATGCCGTTGCCGGGTTGTTTTCAGTCCCGTCCAACTTTTTGTGACCCCATTCGGAATTTTCTTGGCAAAGATATTGCCTTGCACCACAATCCACTCAGGTAAAGAGGCAGCTGTGCCCAAGGATGGCTGGTGGATGGTATAGACCTTCAACAATGTTTTTTTTAAACTTTTTTTTTAAAGTTTTTCTAAACTTCTTTTAAACTTTGAACTTAAACACAGTTTAAGAAACACTGAAGGGGTTATGAGTGGAAAAAAAAATTAAGAAGCACTGGTGAGGAGGAGGGTAGGCTTTTTTTGAGGCAAGATCAGGAAAAGGAAATAGCACCACGCCTTTCAAACACAATCTATGGTATCTGGTAGAACACGGCAAGGGAGGGGTTTGTTAGGGAGAGGGTAGTGAGGAAAGCAGAAAGATAGGATTAAAATTATGGTTTTGTCCCATGAGAGTCTTAAAGGGAGCTATAATGTACATAAACTGATACAAAGTAAAGTGAGCAGAACCAGGAGCACATTATAACAGTAACAGTAATATTGTATGATGAAGAATTGTGAATGACTTAGCTATTCTCAGCAGTACAATGATCCAAGACAATCCCAAAGAACTCACGAAAAATGCTATTTGCCTCCAGAGAAAGAATTGATGTTGTCTGAATACAGATTGAAATGTATTTTTTTCTTTCTTCTTTTCTTTTCTTTTCTTTCTTTCTCTTTCTTTCTTCTTTCTTTCTTTCTTCCTCTTTTGTTTTTTTTCTTTCTTCTTCCATCCTTTCTCTTTCCTTCTTTCTCAAGTCTTCCTGCACAAAATGACTAATAGGGAAATGTTTTATGACTGCAAATGTATAACCTATATGAGATTGCTTGCTGTCTCAGGGAGGGGGTAGGGAAGGGAAGGAGGGATAGAATTTGGAACTCAATACTTTAAAAAAAATGAATGTTAAAAATTGTTTTATGTGCAATTGGGGGAGTGAATTAAATATTATTTAGAAAAAAGAGAGACCTATAACTAGGAATTTTGTTTACAATCACTTTGGCAGCTAAGAGGAGGATGGACTAGAATGAGGAGAGATCTGTGGCAGGAAGATCTGCCAGGGTTATGGCTTTAATGCTATTATCTCAGAGATGCTACCAAGTTGTTAATCAAGGAATAAGAATTAAAATTACAAAGAAAACAAAAGACAATGAAAAGATGTATTGTAGGTGTTAAGCAGGCCCAGCATGCCACTTATGATTGTACCTCTGTACCCTCCTTCTATACCCACAAATCCTTTCCTCTCCCCTCTCTCAACCCTATAATCTGAAGCTGGAGTTGAATGATTCTTCTAGCTGGAGTCAGAAATCCTTCTGCCTTTATGTATCATAGGAGGTATAAAGTCATTATCAAAGATACATATGGGAGAAAAGTAGGCTATAGGCACCCCTTTTATTTTCCAATTCTTTGCCACTACAAAAAGATCTGCTATAAATATTTTTGTACATATGGTACTTTTCCTCTTTCTTTGATCTCTGTGGGATATAGGCCTAAGATGGGAATTCTCAATCAAAGGATATTAAAAGTTTAGTAACTTCTTGGGCATTGTTCCAGATTGCTAGATTTTGGGACATGGCCAGCAAGAGAATTTGTTGCATTTATTTATGTTTTTATAAGGATTTTATTTTTTCCTTTTAAATTCTTTGGGGCAGAGAGATAAATACTTGTTAATTGAAAAAAGAAAATGAAAATTTGACACCTTTTCTGCTCTTTCCTCAAAAGGAAAGAAAAGTAGGTGAGCTGTTTATACAGTGAGGAAGAGACAACAGTTAAGTCACCAAGTATTACACAGGTACTCTTAAATATCAGAAGAACAACAAAAAAAGGCCTTCTAGTACCCTGGGGGAGATCCTTTATGGAAGATCTAGAGGAAAACATGGACAAATCATAATAAGACTGGAGGATATGGTGAGGTTATGATTTGTATTGTTGGAGGGTAAGCCAACACCAGAAAAATCATGGATCCACCAAAGAAAAGTATATAGAAAATAATATTGTCCATGGTAATAGATATAACAAAGATAAAAGAGTAAATATTAATCACACAGTTATACTACTATAGTAATTGCAAATTAGTGAAATTATATTTTCCAGAAGAGTCTGCCTTAAGTATTATTTTCCTCCTGGAATGGCAGAGCAGTATGTACTTGTATGAGACCTCTTAGATGATCTCAGAGCTTATGTAATCACCCAGGTCATGAAAATGGTATATAAGAAGTCCAGGAATGAGTCCTTTCAGCCTGTAAGCTGGCCTCTACGATGCTCCATAATCTAGTGATTCAAGTGCTATATGATGGGATATTCCTGGGATCACCAGAATGACCAACACTCATAAATGACATTCCATGGATCTTTAAAAGCCTGGGAAAACCATATGTAGGCACATTTAAAAATAAATGTTCTATAATTCTTTTATATTTTAAACAGTGTATATTTTGAATTTTCAAGTAATGAAGAATAGTAAACAGAATTCTTTCAAAACTCATATGAAATTTAAGAAGTTATACATAAATATTTTTATGCTTATGTACACATCAATATAGAAAAAAGAACACAGTGTAATTTCCAAATAATTCTATAGTGTGGAAAGGTTTTTATGATCTCAAGAAATTAACAGGTTTGTGGCTTTTTTGTATTTTTTTTTTTACATTTTCATCAAGAATAGGAGTCTGGCATCTTAAAATCTTATAATAAAATGTAAATGCATAATAGCTCAGTTTTTGCTATAAACTTGCTCATACACTGTAGGACATTTTAAAAACCTTTACTGTTCTGGACACAATATTGAATCTCTGTCTCTACTGGGTAAATCAAGCAGAAACTCACTACTTTAAGGATAAGATAAGAAAACATAACTTTCTTCAGCAAGGCAATCACAGAATGAGAAACATCAGTGAGTTTAATACTTGGTGTAAACTAAAATTGGAGGAGGGGATAGGTCAAGTTATGATGACATGTTATCAATCTTTGCAATGCAACCAAAGAATACCCATGATGGTAAAAATCTCCTAGCAGTGTGGTTCAAATAATAGAACAGTTCCTGAGG